GCAGCAGTTATAGTCTTTTCTCCAGGCAGGTTAATTCCTTTAACTGTCCTTCAAACTCCCCAACCTAAACGTCCAACCTTCTGCTAAGTAGGAGAGGGACAGTGACAATTTGTACTGGGTGAAGAAGAGAATCTAAGTTTGCAATAGCATCTTATATAATCTTCTAGTATAGGATTTCAACTGCACACCCTACTTCTAGAGGCACATGATACTTATAATTCCTGATCATTTATGTTTTATTATGTTTATGTGTGTTATAGTAGGGAAGGGAAAGGCTGGAGAGCAAACTCAGTGTCTTGCGTATTCTAGGCAAGCACTCTACCACCGAACCCCAACTTTAGCCCTTACTTCTGCATCTTTGACTTAGGTTTCCATTTCCTCTTCTGTGTAAATTACCAATTGTCCAGCTAGTTCCCATTTTTAAAATATTATTTTTATTGTTTCCTCCCTCATTTCCTTTTCCTTGGGATTTATTAACGTCATTTATTACAGTTTCGGGATGGGGTAGAAGTGAATGTACGTTCAAGTCATTGTTTAACCAGAAGCCCTGATCAAACAATATCAGAACTCAGGAAGAATATGAGTTATTTACTGTTCATCATCCATTCATTTAATAAGAATAGGCTCCTCCTGTGTACCAAATGCTATTTTATGTTCATATAGTACATCACTGAAAACTTTGCTGCCCTCATGGAGTTTATATTCTATCAGGAAATTATTTGGTATTACTTATAATTAGGTTAAAAAATCTGATAGTCTTGTGATTAAAAAAAGGATATTGTGGAAGGTCAAAATAAAACCATCTGCTAATGCTTTAATCTACCAAAAACTAAATAAACTGTCCTAGTTAGTACTATGTTAGCACTGTAACTATAGAAATAAAATATGCAAAGTTATTTTTCTTAATATTGTGACTAATTAAATCATAGTAGAAAATATTTTCTCTCATGAGAATTTAGGTCTCTAGATTCTAAAATTTACTACTAAAAAAGTAAGACAGATGACAGCATGATTGCTGAGCACTGAAAAACAGTTGGCCATTATCAAGAGTAATGATCCCTTTTAGTGCAGGTGGAATTAGAATGCTCCTCAAGAAAACACTGGCGATCTATGCAGCATAATCCTTAGCAACAGTTCAACATTAATATTTTGTTGTGCTATATATCAGTGGTTCTCAGACACTAGTCTGCAGACAAGTACTGATCCATGACAAAATTTTCACTAGTCCATGGCAAAAAGAAAAAAAAAAAGTCAATATAAGGCCGTTAAATGACTTTTCTTATAAAGAACTGTCCTTTATCTCGAGATTATGTCCTTAATATAATTTTGATATTAAAATGTTCATTTTAAAAATGATAGTGATGATAAATGGTATTGCTTGTTTTTTAATGAGCTTGCTTCTCAAAATAAGCTGACAGTTCTATTTTTTATAAATTTTGAATCTTTACTGTTTTACATCTAACTTCAAGGGAGAGGTACTAATTATGATAATTAAGGATAAAGGTTTTGTTTACCAAGATAACAGTAGTCATAGTTAAAATATCCTGGGACTATCTTGATAGTCATTGTTAACTCAAAAGAAACCCATAACTATACATTTATGACTACTATTGGCTGTTTAAAATTCAGTAATACTTAAGAATTGGAATTAGAGTTTATGAAGAGATAATTAAGAACCATCTTAGTATAAGTGATCTAACAAAATTGGCAGCTCTCATAGATCTAGGAAAGAATAATAGTATGAAGTTGTAAAAACAGTGCCTGATTAAAACCAGGATAAAAGTTTAATTCAAGTTTTGCAACTATTACAAGGCCTTGTATGACACTGCTTATATTTTTGTGGACTGAAATGTTTTGATTAGTCAATCTCTAATATTTTGTTCCCTTAAAAGTCTGTTTCAACTCTGTTCTATGAATTAGGAGATGCTTCTGCTAATGCTACTCCTAAAGAATTTGGATAAATTATGTTTCTTGGGAGAAAGTTCAATATATTAGAGAAATAGTCCAAGTTATCCAATTACAGGGCAGGGGTATGGGAGGTGGGGGAGGGGGTCTTGCTCATAACTAAACTTTCAAAGAAATTGTTTTTATCAGTCTTTTATTAGAATAGGTGAAGATATTAAAGGAGAGAGAAGTTTGACTCTGGCATACCACATCTTTCTCCTTCCTCTTTTTTTTGGGGGGAGGGGTCCCAGGGATTGAACTCAGGGGCACTGAGCCACATCCCCAGCCCTATTTTTATTTTATTTAGAGACAGAGTCTTACTGAATTGTTTAGCACCTTGCTTTTGCAGAGGCTGGCTTTGAACTCATGATCCTCCTTCCTCAGCCTCCTGAGCTGCTGGGAATTCAGGCATGCGCCACCATGTGGAGCTCCTTCTCCTAAGTCTAACTCCTATAGTACCAGGTGAAGGCAAGGGAAATAAGAAGGGTATAGCTCTCTTTATAGAATAAAACATAGAATATCAATAGTATGAAGATAAGACACATTGATCAGGTTAAATGTGGTTCCATTCAGTGCTGTTGGACTACATAATTTGGCTTGGTACAAAATGAAAAAATAAAATAAAAAACAAGGGAAAAGAATTATTAAAAAGATGAAAATATAAATTTTTTCCTTTCTTTGCAGTTCCTCCTTCCCTTTCCCTCTTAATCTGCCATAGTGGTTTTTATTTTCAACTTAATGTCATGGTTTCTTGAGCAGGGGAAAACATAAGTGTCTAGTGGACTCATCACCCAACTCAGCATGAATAAGATCCACCAGCTACTAGGTTTCCCTTCTTCCTTCCAAATGCTTGACCCATGTACTATGTTCTGGCCATATCAGGGAAGTCAATTTCCTTTCCCCTGGGCCTTCTACTCCAGCCCATGATAAATGGGTGACTCTGAAGTGATTCCAACTGCTGGGCAGGGATGGGGATGCATTACCTGGACTGGAAACTCATCCTGCCCCTGACAAGTCACCTGTTTACCATACCAAAGTTATGACAACTTGGAACCTGAACAGTTGCTGCCTCATGTGTCAATTTGAAGTGCTGGAGGGTACATGCAACCAAGTAAGACCTTCCCTTCCTGCACTAGGTCCCCGCCAAGAAGTAAAGGTCAATATCAAAACACAGATCTTTCACTACAAATGTGATCCAACAACCTGCCAATGGCAGAAGAAAAGGACAAGAGAGAAGGGCCAAACAAGATTTAAGAACCAAGACTGGAAAGCAATGGAAATTTTAAAAAAAATGTCTGAACTGAGGCTACAAGCCTTTGGCACAGATTCCATTGTCCCATCAGTCTTAATTTATAAAACATAAAGTCAAGATAAAAGTTAATAAAAAACTTCCAAGACTGTGACTGCAAAGCATTAAACCTGAAGCAGGAAGTCTTCGTGAGTGTGGGTCCCTATACAATTGCACAAGTCAAATATTCATGAAACTGCTCTAGCCTCTACTAATAATGGTTCCTACATGGGAGGTGATTATAGTTTTCATGTAAAATATTCAGCTTTACCTTTTCTCCTTGCTACCAAAAACCCCAGAAGAGGGGCAGAAATGTCTTTTATGGGCCACCCCAGAAGAACACGCCCCTACTTCTAAGTAGACATCACATCAGTTGGCTTAGGGGTACTCAGAGCAGTTCCTGCCCTCCACTAACTTCTACCTTTCTGTATGTAGAGCCCAGAATGAGCGGATTCTCTCTTACGCACACTTCTAGAGCCACAGGTATTAGATACACTTCAAGTCTTACTGACAGAGATTTTTCCCCAAAACCTTCCACTTTGAAATTTCCAGACCAGAACTGGGCATTAATTAATATGTTCTTGGTAAATTTCCCAACTTCAAGAAACATGGCAAGCTTCTTCACATGAATTTACCATATTTTATTCTACTGACAACACCAGGAGTGGATCTCAAGTGTTCATACAAGGAACAAGGGGCAGTCTTCCCTTCTTGTACCTCAATCTCCATAAGGGATTTTCTTTAGATTCTCACACTTAGCATCATCCCCTTCCACTATGGAAGTAGAGAAAAACCTCTCTTTTTTAACACTGCACTCTCAAAATATCAGTGACCATAATGTATTCCCTTCCAATAATTTTCTTTTTAAAATTTTTTTGTAGCTGTAGATGGTCAGACAGCCTTTATTTTATTTGTTTATTTTTTTATGGTGCTTAGGCTTGAACCAGTGCCTCACATATGCTAGGCAAGTGCTCTACCATTGAGCTACAGCCCCAGCCCCCAATAATTTTCAGATATATAAAATATATTATGTATATAATATAGTATATATATATAACATAATATATATTATTATATATCATATTATTTATATATCATATTATATATTATATATTTATATATCATATTATATATGATATGTAAAATATATAATTTTAATATATATGTATGATATATATATGAAAAAATATATATATATGGAAGAGGAAGCTGGGATGATTGTGGCAACAGTGCTAGTGCTATCATATTCCTATGAACACAGTTCTGCCCTGAAATTCTGAGAGCTGGTTGACTGCTCTTTTATAATGTGGATGACACTTTCACCTTTTTTCTTTCAATATTATTTTAGTTGTTGATGGATCTTTATTTTTTATTTATATGCAGTGCTGAGAATCAAACCCAGTGCCTTCCGCATGCTAGGCAAGTGCTCTACCATTGAGCTATAACCCCAGCCTGACACTTTCACCTTTTTATTTTCAGTTTTAGACCTCAGCCACAATTCTAAGACAAAGAAATATCCCATTCATTCTATTATAAAATGAAATCAGACATTTCATTTTATACTTTACTTTAAAGACTGAAAACAAAAGTTGATGGAATTCAGTATCTTGCCCCTAAAATTAAAAAACATCAACAAAATTGCACGGATGAATACCAATTAAACAGGCAAAGCTCATTAGAAATATGATAAAACACTATATACATATATGTATATAGTGTATATATATATGTGTGTGTGTGTATATATGTATATATATATATATAAAACCTGATTATTTTCTTTTAGCATCTTCAATTCTGCATCCATTTTAGTATTAGCTTGAATTTGTTGCTGAAGTAACTGCTGCATATGTTGAAAAGAAATGATGATAGCCTTTAAAAATATATAAATATATCAATTTTTAAATGTTTAATATAACAGTCATGTCTCTAGACTTCATATACATTTTGTAATTTCTAATTCATTATAGTTTAATTTCAATACTTTATTAAACTAATGGCAAATTTTATAATAAAATATCTAAAAATATTTCTTACATAATTTCCAAAGAAATATTATTTCCAAGAGTCCCTTAAATAATTAACTAAGTTTTTTTAATTGGACCATGACACTATTGAAAATTTTGAAGAATTCAAAACTAAAATAAACTTTTGTTGACTTGACCCCTGCAAAATAGCAAATATATCTCTACTATAATGTCATATGGGCTATATTACAAGATGTTATAATGAACTAGGATGTCATGAATCAAATGGAAGAAAAGCAGAAGAAAAACAAAGAACAGGAGTTTTCTTTCATGTACCTTTTTAAAAAATTAGAATAATTATAAATATCAAACAGATTCATATGAGAGGATAATGTCCTGAAAAAGTAAGCACTATGTATAGATTCATATGAGAGGATAATGTTCTGAAAAATCATGCATTATGTATAAATATACTTCAATAATTACCTCGTAGGGCACCACTTTTCTGAACAAAGAAAAAAACTGATCTTTTAAAAATGGGAGTATATATGTGACTGTTATACACATTCTAACTGAAAGCTTACTATTTGCTACATATTGACTTAAACATGATTCCATGTGTTACTTTATTTCCCACACTGTAGCTGATTTTAAAATATTTACTGATTTCATAAATATCTTATGATTGCTTACCTGTTTTTCTTCTTCAGTATGGATAATCTCATCATTAATCTTCTTATTTAATTCTAATTCCTTCAAAAATTTGAATAATTTTAAACTTATGGTATAAAATTCAAATTCTTACATTCAATTCAGTGCTCAAAAAACTTGAGAATGACATGACCTATTACTCCAGAGCACCCACATTTGCTTGTGGTTGAAACAGTGGCTCCAGTGAATTGAGGAAGGTATCAGAATTCAATATAGAGCCGGGTGTGGTGGGGTGCACGCCTGTAATCCCAGTGGCTTGGGAGGTTGAGGCTCCTACCATGAGTTCAAAGCCAGTCTCAGCAACAGAGAGGCACTAAGCAACTCAGTGAGACTCTGTCTCTATATAAAATACAAAATAGGGCTGGGGATGTGGCTCAGTGGTTGAGTGCCCCTGAGTTCAATCCGTGGTACCAAAAAGAGACATTAGAAAATGAAATATAATATAGTCTTAAAAAAAAGAATTCAATATAGATTTGTACAAACTTGGAAAGGTTAAAACTACAAAATCCCTCATCTTTAAAGCTCTCTGGAGACACCATTGTATTACAATATTATCCAAAATCAAAGTGAAAATAAAATGGTTGCATCCAAATTTTTTGTCCTTGATAATGGCAAAAAATATCTAATAATTAAAAAAAATTCATAATACCTTGAATTTTTACTATGTATGGCAATTTTGAAAAGAAGAAACATTTTGTGCTATAATCCTAAAATTCTCATGCATTTAAAAATAATTAATTTTATAAACTTGAATACATTAAATCAAATACCATGTTGAGTCTTTCTTGAAGTTCTTCAAATTTCTGTTCTTTAATTCTTATATTGATGTTTTCTTCTTCTATTTTATACTGACATGTGACCTTGTACTTTATCAAGTCAGAAGCTATTTTTTTTAGTTCCTTAATGTAAAAAATATGTCAACAAAATTCAATACACATATTTCATCAAAGTAAGGTAGTTCCCTGACAATTTCAAAATTCATCTTTAAACCTATAATTATAATTCATATATCAAGATAACACTACCAGTATATCAAGGTCTACTTCCTGTAGCTCCTTTGCAAGATTAGCCAACATGGGAATGCAACATGGGGCTAATAGAATAGGCAAGACCAATCACATGGGGATAAAAAACATGCACTAACCAACCAGAAAAGTAGAGTGTTTTCATTCATTACTTATTCAATAACCATCTTCTGAGATAGCTGGTCATGGTGGCACACACCTGTTATCCCAGTGACTTGTGAAGCAGAGGCAGGAGGATTGAAAATTTGAGGCCCCTCAGCAACTTAGTGAAGCCCTAAGCAAGTGAGAGCCTGTCTCAAAATAAAAAACTAAAAAGGACTGGGAGTTGTAGCTCAGTAGTAAAGTGCCCATTGGCTCAACCCACAGTACTGAAAAAAAAATCTTCTGAGATAATGAAAATGATAATATAGGATTCTCAATTTGATTAGCATCAAGTAAGAAATAATTAAAATATAATGTATTACAGAAATGTATAAGAAGCATAAAGAAGGAAATGGTTTAGTTATAGACATCAAGAAGTTATTACACAGAAAAGTAGCACTTGAATTAAGTCTTTAAAGATTCAGAAGGGGAAGGGGAAAATATTGGTAATGTAGCTAGAAATCTGGCAGGACTCAAATCTTAAGAGGAAGTTGTCTGTCAAGATAAAGAATTTTATTTTTATTCTAGGGACAATGGGAATTAACCACTGAAGGATTTGGGGGTTTTTTGTTTTATTTTTTTATTTGTTCTTTTTAGATACTCAAGACAGTACAGTGTATTTTGCCATATTATACATACCTAGATTATAATAACTTATTCTAATTAGGATCCCATTCTTTTGGTTGTGATGTAGAATTTCATTGGTCATGAATTCATATATGAACATAGGAAAGTTATGTCAGATTCATTCTACTGCCTTTCCTATTCCCATCCCTACTAAAGAATTTTGAATAGGATGATAAGACAAGATTTGCTTTTTAAAAAAATAATTTTGGCAGTGTGCAGAAAGTATAATTTAGAATTATGAAAGAAGTCTTCATTTGTGAACCATTACATGTTCATTTAGTTTAGCTGATACCAATCACATTAAAATCCTAACATATCAATTTCTAAATTAGTGTGCAACTGATTGTATTGCTGTTTTGTGTATCTATTAAATACCCAAGAAGTGATTTTTATAGCCTTGATTACATAGCTTCTGAGCTCCCTTTGTATTCTGGAGTAACTCTGCATTATAAGAACCCACTGTCCACCAGAGAAGCTAAAATACTAGATACTTGCTTTATAAGCTTGAGAACAGACTCTGCTAATCAGATGCACAAGTCTTGGATGTTGGATCAAGACTATTACAAAGGACAAGGACTGCTGCAGATCTGTCTGTTGGTAGACAGTGGGGACAGTGCCAGTAACTTCAAGCTTCCATGGGTAACAATGATGCCTCCCAGACAGTAGTGCATCCACTATGGTCAGCTGAGATGATACAAGGTATAGAGTAATCAGCAGTGGGAGCTTGGTTTTATGCTTTTGTCTTAAATATACTGCATGGTCTCCCGTTGGAAGCCATGTATGAATTATGGATTTTGTTTGAGCCATTAGGGCGGGGAAGCTGCTTTTCTGGAAACTCCTGGGTGAAATTCCCCAATTTGAGAAAGCCCAGATCACGCTGGCACTGTGCCTTAGTTCACAGCCCTAAGTTCAAATGCAGCTGCCCAGAGCAACCACCGAAGAACCTGTTTTTCCCACTCTTATCCTGTTTTCCTGAAGGAGCTTGCCATTCTGAAACCTTTGATGTATTTCACCTTAAATAAAGGACAGGCCTTTTTCACTTGTTCAGTTCCAGTTCCTATCAGGACTGGAAGACCCACCAGGTGCCCCCTTTTTAAAAATCTAATTTCTGTCTTTGTCTTTTATACCTTAGTAATTATTTTCAGACTTTTTATTCTCCCAGCCAGTTCACATCTCCAAACAGGAATCTGCTCTACCAGAGTGCTGGTAACCCTGGCAGTCTCCCTTGCTCCTAATGATTTTTCAAGTCTGAGATGATCAACATTCTTCCAATAAATTCTTTTGCTGACTAAGTCAGCATGCAATTAAGAATCCTGACAAATATACTTCAAATTTTTGGTTTCTGAACTACCTAAGCAATAGACTCTTGACTCTTTAGTTAAAAATAAAAAGCCGAAACAGTAGGATGGTTAAGGTTACACAATTTTAAAAATTGATTCGTGTTCTCTATTTTTTTAAAAATTAAAAATTTCTTATGTGGTTTTCAAAATAATATTTACAGTTACAGAAATAAGTAATTAGAGGATAGAAGATGATAAATAATTAAGTCCTAAGGAACTCCACTATTCACAGACTAAAGATGTCAGTATAAAAGGCCAAAGAGTACAGTCAACTGAGGTAGGAGGAAATCCAAGAGTGCAATATCAAGCAAGCAAAACAGAAGCAACAGAAAATAGGGCTGCCAATACTTCCGAGTTCTACATGTTACAGTTTCAGCCCACCCAGAGAGAAATTTACTATACTACATCATATTTCAAAATCCAGAAGAAAGGACTCATTAGTCTTAGCTCACATACAACCTTTGGATATGTGCATTGCATAAAGTGACTGCTAAAAGTAATCAAAAGATAGGGCTCTATCTTCAGCAGAACAAGAAAACAAATTAATATCCTGGTATGATGAAACCAATCAGCATGTATTAAAGTAACTAAAAAAGACTGAATGAAGGAGGAGAGGCAGGTTTGAACTGGGCCTTGAAGAATGAATAGTAGATTGAATATCCTCCATTTGTCCCTCCTTCACTTTCCACCCTTTCTGTACACTGCTTTGTGCCCTGCTGTGTGGCTAAGCTCTTTGAGTATAGGAAACCCCACCCTGCCCTCTGGCTCCTTGTTAGGTTAAATCTGTAGGAGGCATCAGTGAATCAGCAGGCTAGGAAAAGAAAGAGATTGAGGTATTTTCCTAGTTTCTGCCCTACCTAATCACAATTTGGCAATGGTGTTGTATCTTGACCAAGTCACAGCTTCTGACTTTGGCCTTCTTTTACAACCATAGCTAGTTCTTGCCACATTTCAGCATCTGCTTCATTCCCTTGCCCCTTCTAGTATAGGCATGGTAATAAACTCCCTACTACTTTTATCCTTTGGTACTTTACCATCCCTTGTTGGTCTTCCTTAACTCTTCCCACATTTATGTAAATAGCTTCTTCATTAAATCTTTCTCAATTACCAATCCCAATGTGCCATCTGATTCCTAACACAACCCTGTTTAATACAAACAAAATAAAGAGAAGGCATTTCAAGAGTGAGAGCAAAGATAGAGGAAAGCAAAAGCAAAAAGGAAGAACTAAGAATAATACTAATGGCCACAAAGATTTTGGTTAAAATAGAATGGAACATATCTTTTAAGAAGTAGCAGGAAACAATGTTGAATATGTAGAATGGGCAAACCACAGAACCTCTGGAAAGCCAATTAAAGAAGTTTGGGATTTGATTTGGTGGGCAAAAGAAAACTACTCAACCCATCATTCCTTCTATATACACCAAGTACCTACTCTGTGTCAGTCACCTACAACTGGTACATTAAACCAGTATCTCAGTGAACTCTTGTCAAAAAAAGTGAATGAAATCTGAAGAAAACACAGGCTAAGAGACTATTACATTAATTCAGACATGAGATGATGAGTGTCTATACTATTTAAAAATGGGAAATGGGGGATAAGACATTCTAAAAAAAGATATCATCAACTGAACAAAGAAAATGAAGATAAAAGATGATTCCAGAGTATATAGATGAAGGTAGACAAAATGAAAAGGGGGAATGAAATATGAAAGGCAGAAACATAAAAATGAAAAATCTGCTTCACTGATAAAAGAGATGAAATACGTATTACGATTTCATTTAGGAGAGAGAAAATGTCATGAGATAGACTCTTAAGAAAGCCAAAATGGGGACTGGGGCTATTAGAAAACAGATGGCACGGGGCTAGTGTTGTGGCTCAGAGGTAGAGTGCTTACCTAGCGTGCGTGAGGCCCCCGGGTTCAATCCTCAGCACCACTTAAAAAAGTAAAATATATTGTGTCTGTCTATAACTAAAAAGTAAATATTTTTAAAAAAGAAAAAAAACAGATGGCACATTGGAATTGGTAGAGCACTTGCCTTGCATGTGTGAGGCACTGGGTTTGATCCTCAGCACCACATAAAAATAAATAAAGATATTGTGTTCATCTACAACTACAAAAAATTTTTTTAAAAAGCCAAAATGTACAAATCATTAAGCCTAAGCTATTACTATTTTGGGGGAGGGAGAGGGTTACTGGGGATTTGAACAAAGGGCACTTTAACACTGAGTCACAACCCCAGTCCATTTTATTTTTTATTTTGAGACAGGGTCTGGCTAAGTTGCTTAGGGCCTTGCTAAATTAAATTGCTAAAGCTAGTCTCGAATTTTCAATCCTCCTGCCTCAGCCTCTCAAATCACTGAGATTACAGGCATGCGCACCACCACCACACCTGGCAAGGCTGTTACTATTCTCAAAACACATCCTTCATTTATATATATATATATATATATATATATATACATATATATATATATATATATATATATATATATGTATATGTATATATATATATATATATATATATATATATATATTCATATTATAAAAGGTAGCACCCAAAGAATTTCCCCCAAAGAAGTATCAGTGTACCAATAATGACTTACCTTAACAAGCAGCAAGATGGTTTCTTCTTAAGAGTTGTATGAATTTTTTTCAGGGATAATAGGATAGTGAAGAATCCAATATATGATTAACCTCGAAGTTAAAGTCACAAAAAGGAAATAACCTACAACCAGTTGAAAATATGGAACTAGAGAACCAAAA